GCTGTGCAGAGCCCGTGCTGGCAGCTTGTGAGGGCTCCTGCACAATCCTGGGGTGGCTCCAGGGCGCCCCGCTCCCGTGACCGGTACGTGCATGGGGAGCAGTGTCTCCTGCTCCCCACACACATCTGTAGATAAAGCAGGGGCTGGGGGCAGCTCAGCTGTGTGGCCTCCCCTGCACAGCAGCACCAGGGAGGCTGATGGCTGCGCCTGCTCCCTCAGGGAGGTCAGTGTGGTCACTTCCCTCCTGCTCTCCCTCCGTGTTGGCCTTGCCACGCCCCCAGTGCGGTGCTGAGGTGGGGGGCAGCAGGAGGTGCGTGTTTCTCCATTGCACCCCAGAGCTCCTCTGCTCCTGGCCAGTGCGGGAGGGCTGCACGCACCCAGACTGCTCCCCGTGTGCTGATGCGAGGGTGGCGCCTCCCCAGCACTGCCCCTGGACAAAGGCCTCCCCAGCCTCCCTGCTGACCTAGAGGGGAAAGAGGATGGTCACCTCGGGATCCCCAGCTCTGTCTGTCTGTCTGTAGAGTCACTGTCCTTCCAGGTTAAAGCTCCAAGCCATACACAGTGTCTCCATCAGAGCCTCCCGCTGGCTCCCGCTGCTGCCCAGGTGGGGCTGGTCTCCAGCTGAGCAAGAGGAGAGGAGAGGAGCATCTCTCTGCATTGGGGTCAAGCCTCTAGCTGAATGCTGGAACCTCAAGGCTTTGGACACTGCTATGGAATGTCTCTGTCACTTGTGTATAAAATGTACATTGGAAATATTTATATGGACACTCTGTATATACGGTTTCTTTTCCATAAGTTGCCCTGTGTGTGTTATCTGCAGCCAAGGAGATAAAGGCCAATAAAGCAACCCACCTCCTGCCAGGCCAGTGTCTCAGTGTGCTGCCTTTGGGGCCTCCACGCAGCCCTGGTTTGCAGCTGGCTCTGGTGACTCTCCAGCCCACACTGACCAACGTTTAGCTCTTCTGCGTGGGCTCGGGCTCTGATAACAGGAGTTTTGTGCCAGAGCAGGCTCCTGGGACAGGCAGAGTGCTGAGGCTGGAGGGGAGATGTGCCAGCCTGGGGCACTGAGGGACAGTGCCAGAACATGGCCCCAGAGGAATGCCCAGCTCTGGGGATGGGAGGACACATGTCAGAGGGCAGTGCTGGAGAGGACACATGCAGGGCAGGGACCTGGGCCAGCTGCTCCCTGTGCGCAGGACAGCAATGTGGAGCTGGGCTGGGGAAGGCAGGGAGTGATGGGCTGCCACATGAGCCAGGAGCGCAGCTGCAGGATCATCGGGTCCCGAGGACAGACAGACCCCGAGCAGCGCGGGGAGCCGTGTGCCTGCCTTGCCTTGGCCTGCACCTCGTGGCCATGGGCACAGCAGGGCCCCAGTGCTGGGCTGGCTGCGCCCAGGCCTCACCACAGCAGCACTCTGGGGTTCCAGGTGTGCCTGGAGTGTCCCTGTGCTGTGCTGGGGCCAGGCTGCGCTGCCCCTGGGCCCCAAGCCTGTGCGGCAGTGCTGCAGGAAGGGAGGTGCCAGGACACCCCCAGCTGGCACAGGCACCCTCAGATGTCCCTGCCACACCCTGCTGCCTCCTCCTGTGCCTCTCCCGTGGCAGAGGCTGCCTTGCTGGGGGCTGCAGATGGCGGCCCCAGCCCCTC